CACACTAACACACGCTGCCAGTTGGTAAAACGGGGAGATCAGTGATGAGCCTGGAGAGTTGTCATTTTGAAAGCGTGACCCAGGCAAGGACTCTGAGAAGGTCGCGTTTGAGCACGTGTGACCTGAAGTAAAGTTTAGGGCCATGGTATCTGGACAGCTGTGAGTCCGTCTGTCCTCCAGGTCAGGGGGGTAGAATTGCATCAGTCAGGAGGTGGGTCCTGCAGCATCTCTCTATTTCCTATAAGGAGGTGTGTGTGTGTTATTGCTTGGGCATAGCATAGGCATGTTTTAGACTTTTAATATATAGCGTCGGATATCTATTATATATATGTAATATAACCAGATCACCTGCAAAGGTTGTGGCAAGTTATAGGCCCACTTAGTAGTCTGTCTTTCCCTCATTAGAGTGTCTTATCTGAAGTTGTTAGGTGCCATCAAGCTGGTTCCGGCTCACAGGCACAGACGTACAGCGGACAGAACCCTGTCCAGTCCTGCGCCAGCCTCAACTGTGGCTGTGGTCGAGCCCATGGTGGCTCGTTGAGGTCTTCCTCTTTTTTGCCACCCCTCCATTTTACCAAGCATGATGTCCTGTTCCAGGGGCCAGTTTCTCCTTCTAACATGTCCGAAGAGTGTGAGACGAGGTCTAGTCCTCCTCGCTGCTAAGGGACAATCTGGCTCTGCTTCCTGCAAGGTGTTCTTCCGGCAGGCCCCCTGATTGATTCCACATTCCTGGCCAGCCTCACGATTCAGCAGCCTCCCTTCTGCTCCGGCCTTCCTTATTCCCTCTCCCACTTCTACGTGCATGTCAGGAAATTGAAAATAGCCATAGGTTTGGCTCAGAGCACCTCATTCCCCAAAGTGCGTACAGTTTATTTTAAAGACATGTAGAACGTACAGAAGAGTATAAAATTAAAGAATAACCTATATGTACAATAAAATAGATTGTTAAATGATTTTTTAAATTTTTCATCACCTTTGAAAGTTATTAGCGAATTCCAAATTATAAAGCCAGAAGCAGAAGCTGTAAAATTCTAAAACTAATGAGGGCTCAATTCTTTTTCTTTACATATTCTCAGCAGATGGGAATATTAGCAACTGAAAATAACAGCGATTCCAGGAGCTTTCGTCACAAAGAAAAAATTTAAATGTATAAATTTATTTTTAAACTTACTATTGTATTCTCTCTTTTCACTCTCTTACTATTTTTCTTTCAATCCTATCAGGTTTCGGTCTACTAGATCTTAGAAAGTTCAGCACTTAATGTCATTCTCCAGCAGCGCCAGGGATTGGAGAATTTGTCCTGAGTGTTAGGTAGCAGATCCAGAGGTAGAAAAGCAGGTAGAGTGAAGCGTTAATTGTGATCTCTGAGATAGTTTATTGTGCCAGCCTGCCGATAAACACAAGTGGGATTAGCTGAAGGGCAGAGAGATAAATGGCTCGGTGAGCAGAACACAAGAAAATCATATATTGTGAGCAAGGGGGTGTAGAGTGGAGACCCAAAGCCCATCTGTAGACAATTGGACATCCCCTTCCAGAAGGGTCACAAGGAACGACAAGCCAGTCAGGGTGCAGTATAGCACAGATGAAACATACAACTTTCCTCTACTTCTTAAATGCTTCTTCCCCCCCCCACTATCATGACCCCAGTTCTTTACAAATCCATCTAGACCAGAGCATGTACATGGATACAGATAAGAGCTAGAAACACAGGGAATTCAGGACAGA